TAGTATTAAGATATCAAACAATTGGATTACAGTATCAAGTGCTAGATTGAGGTTTCTTGATTTTTTCAGGAGTGCAAACATGGCCTTTTTGGAGCTAGACAGTAAATCGTTTATTGCGGTATTAAATCTTCTATTGCGATGAAAGTTGATACCTAGATACGTATAATTATCTGCAATTTCAATTGGTTTAGAATCAAGTTGAAAAGATAATTTAGATTTTTTACCCACGCCTCCTCCAAATATAATAATCTTAGTTTTGGCAATGTTAACATTGAGTTTCCACACATCGCAGTATTGTTTGAACACATCAAGAGAATTTTGAAGATCTTTCTGGGATTCACCTAAAAGTATCGCATCATCTGCGTACAACAAAATAAAGAATTTAATACACATATACACATAATCATCATGAACACAAGTGATGTCAACGCCCCTACAAACTTTGCTCTCAAGATATACATCTAAATCATTGAGAAAAATCGAAAATAATAATGGAGAGAGATTTTCTCCTTGTCGAACCCCGGAATAACTATAAAAGAAGTTTGAAATTTGGTTATCAACCATAACGCAAGATGTTATATTACTGTACATGTTTTTCACTAACTTGAAGAATCTCCCCTCTATATTGTATGATAACATCTTGTACCATAGGCCTACTCTCCAAATACCGTCGAACGCTTTTGTGAAATCAATAAAAGCACAAACAAGTTTTCGTTTTGATTTTTTGAAATACTGATTTAGCATATTTAAGATGAATATATTATCAAGTGTTGACATATTTTCTCGAAAGCCAGCCTGCGATGAGCTAAGAATTTCATTTGATTCTAAGTAACTATTTAATCTGGAATTCAAAAGACAAGTAAATAACTTTCCTAAACAGCTCAGAATGGTAATGGGCCTGTAAGAGTTCGGGTCAAGAGAGTCACCTTTTTTCTTATATATTGGGCGAATCACTCCCGTCAACCAAGAGTCAGGGATAACACCAGTGGATAAAATCAAATTAAAAAACGAAACGTAAAAGTCACCCAGAATATCAATTGAATCAATCAAATAATCATTTTCAATTAAGTCAAGGCCTGAGGATTTATTACGCTTCAGTCGCGAGATAGCTGAGCGTATTTCTTCTAAAGTAATATCTCTGTTGAGAGTCGAGTTATCATATGAACAGGGGTTGAGATCTTCTTCTATAACATCAATGTCGCCGAGGTATGAGGCATTAATCGATTTGAAAAAATTATGAAATACTTCTATGTTCGGTGTTAGTAAATTATTATCATTCACCTGTGAATTAAGTGTTTTCCAGAACTCTTTGGGCGAGTGTTTAAATTTATTACGTAACATTATATTTGTTTCATATTTATGATCCCTTATATGCTTATTTAAGCATTTCTTATACAACTTGCCATGATGGCGATACATTGAATAATTTACTTGATTACGAACTTTTTTGAAACGACGTTTCGATTTACGGTAAAGCCGTCTAATGTCCCGACATTCCTTACTGAACCAGGGCTTATTCGTCTTGACGCTCACGTGGTTTACAGGGAGATGTAGTTCGTTTGACTCCGAAGGTAGTCCGTGCGGCATCGACCAGCACGTGCGTTATGTCCTCAGCTAACCTATTGACCTCAGTATCAACATCAACATCAAAACTGTCATAACAAACAGCATCACTTCTATCTCGCAACTGTCTTATAACTTCTACATCAATGTTATTTCGGAATACACTAGCCCTATCAATATTGTAGCGTCTAGGCCTGTTTCCGGTATTAGTTTTTGAAGAAGTGCAATAATCTGCCGATGTGACGTTTGACTCACTCACTCATACATGTTTGATCATTTGTAAACATGCAACGTTTTGTGAATATCAACCTCTTTTTAGTTTTGAACGTTTCTTGCCGTCAGGTGAATACTGAGCGAGCGTGTGTAGAATTTGTATATGCTGATGTGAGCTCACCAAAAATAATTATATACCCGCGTTACAATAAGGCCGCGGTGAAAACAGTGATGACGGCGTGATAACCAAGCTGACTAGCGTAACCACCAAGCGGTTCATTTGGGGGTGATAATGATTGCATCTACACAACATTTATACACATGGAAATTAGTTAAGCAACACCCGTATTTTCTCAGACTGATCAACTTTAACGAAGTAGTGCATGAAATGTGTAAAAGATTTCAATACCAAATAAAGTATTTAGTGAAAAGAAAGAGTTGAGGAGGAACATAGCCAAGATTACCATGGAATAATGTGGGTTTTCTTTTTTTAGATGTAACAGATTTGGAAAATGGCTTAATTTCATCCAAACAAATTACGAATGTCGCTTTTGTTGCACAGACTAAACTGTCAGTACCATGCACACTTCCGGTTTACGGAATTGAAGAACAATGTCCTGCAATTACAAATATTGACTTTCCATCAGTATCTTGTTTCAAATCTCTGGATTTGATTCTGAGGAATTCTATCCCCTTCTGTCCCATTTAAGGCCGTCGCGTTCGACAAAGAGACCCACCTGCCCATACGCTCAATGAATTGACTGCATACTTTGCATGGGAAATGGGACAGAATATTTCTTTCTTCTTCACGTACCTGGAAGCAGGGCCTACCTGTTTTGAAGGTGTATTGTATTAGGCATGTATTGTCCTTAACAATAAGTGATGACATTAAACCGGAAGTGCCTATGTCTTTAGGGACTTGTCATTTATTATTGCACCCGTGAAGATCCGGGTTAGAACAGGTATTCAGCAACCCATTATTGCCGTATTCGGCGACTATGCTAGTCGTAAGAGGCGACTAACGGGATCGGGTGAACCACTCGATCCATTTGGTCGCGTCTTACGAACAGCGTAAATTGCTGGGGACCTTTTCCAACCAGGAATCCCCACGGGGTTTTCTTCTAGAGTCATGTTAAACATATTGTGCTGTACTTGCACTGTGAACACAAACATCTGCAACTGACATATTGAAGAAATAACGTTTTTAATAGATAGGAACAGGTACTAGTTAAGACCCGTGAAGATACGGGTTTGAATAGGTCTTCAGCAACCCATGCTTGCCTTCAGAGGCGACCACGCTTGTCATAAGCGGCGACTAACGGGATTTGGTGGTCAGGCACGCTGACTTGCTTGATTCATGTCATCGTAACCAAATTGCGTAGATCGATGCCCATGATGTCAATCACTGGCTTGTCTGGTCCAGATTCGATTATTTACAGACCGCCGTCATACAGCTGAAACAATGCCGAGTGCGGCGTTACAGTCCGATGAATTGCATCGGGAATAGTCTATTAAATGCTAATACTGTACACGGCAATGAATACCCTGTACCCAACAAAATCTGCTGTTCGTTATTTTTATCCCCATCACTAACGTTGTGTTCAATCGTCCAACGTTGTATCTGACGATACCCCATATCAACACTCTCAGATCACAGTGGAAAGGGTGATGTCCAAGCCGGCGTGACCTTGACCTTTGTGTAATTGTCAACCATCTCAATTCAATCATTACATAGAGTTGTGGTTTTGCAGCCCTCGAAGGAAAGGTCATGTCCATCCGTTGCAGCCACGTCACACTATATCCTTTAAGGGTATTATTGCTGTGTCACAGGCATTTACCACGTCTCGTCTAGGAAAACAGGCTTATATCCTTCTTCACGTTTCTGCTTGATGGTTCGAAGATAATGATTTCGGAGACAAAGGACGTCAGATCGTTCACATAACACAACCCTTTTGTCCCCGCTGATCTTTTTGTATCAGTATATCCACATCTATGAAAAAGTTACCATAGATTGTATTTAATAACAATTAAAACATGTTCAGTTCCAAGGTATTTCTTCAAGAGTCTTAGTGAAGTTGCACATCTGCTTTTTTTCTGAAAACCGTCTAATATATCAACCCTACATGGTTTTGAAATGTTCCCCACCTGCTTCTGATTGCTGGAGTCTCGACGACGGACATTTTTCAGCTTGTTAGGAGACACACCAAGAGCTTTAGAAGCTCGTTTCAAGTATTTATTAATGGCATGAAATGGTTTTCCTCTTTCTGCTTCTCATTGAAAGAAATCATACACCTTAAAAATCAACTGGTTCACATCGGCTGAGTAGTGCATCTTCGTATACCACGTAACACGTACAGTACGTGTCTGCACTGTTCCTCCTACCTTTGTGCCCGTTCAAGATGTCAACTTGTACATATAAAAACCTGATATTGTTGGGTTGAGGCGTATTCATTGCCGTGTACCGTATTGGCATTTAATAGACTATTCCCGATTTTGAGTTATTTTGCAATTCGTCGTTGCCATTTGGAGCCTAACGGACTGTAATATTAACCCTTGTTTGCATCGCCAAAGGGAGGGACAAGGGACTTCTCCACCATATCCAGTCAACTTAGGTCAATAATTAAACAATGTCTTGAAACATCTTGTACACATCATCAAAATCAAGAGTTGTTAATTGGTATCGTACCCTTGTCGTGAGAGCCGGCTGAAGGGGATCGGTTGGATGACTCGGTGACTTAGTCTGGTCCATACCAAATGTTTGCAGGCCGCTGTGATGTAACTGGACTACCGTTTACCTCGTATCATACCACATTTAAGTGCACCGATAATCGTTTAAACCCAGATCCATACCTGACTATCTTTATTCAACATGTTTAGAGCTGTGGTAGTTTGAACACGGATTTCCAACAAGTCAAACTATGAACAAGAACAATGTGTCACCGTATATGCTATGTATACAGTTTACTGTTTGACTACGTTTTAGATTTAACTACAAGTTGTGATGTGTTCCGTGTAGTCCTTCTCCAAGGCCCTAGAGAATATATTAAAGAAGTCCTACGCAAGTCAAGAATGATTGGGCAAGTCTAGATTGCCTCAGCTCTAGGAATAATTAAAAATTGTTCTGGGCTCCCTTTGCATTATATTTTTCATAGCGTGTGAGTGTATGTAAAAATAAGATAACTTTATTTCTGGGACTAAATGACAGTCTATGTTCCATGTTGCAGGTGTGCGAGCTGCACGTGTCCGGCTACCAGTTCGCTGTACTCAACAATGCATTCCTGGCCCACAGAGGCTTCAAGAGGAGGGGGGATTTCCACGCCACCAAGAACCAGGAACTTACCAAGAACAAAATTCTGTTTACAAAGTTTAAGGATGAACTGAAAGTCAAGTACCCAAACTCCACCGGAACATGTTTGTGATGTGGCGGTTGTCGATTTACCTTTCCATGTCACGGAGGGTAAAGCGGTGGTGTCTACAAACAGTTCATGGTCCACAACTACCTGAGGTGGGTGGGTGCTTCGTGGTAGAGCGAAGGTCTGCTTGGTAACAGAGTAGCAGAGGGGTTATATGACCAAAGGATGATATCCGTGCAATATCTGTTTACACGTTCATGTATTACAAATGACATAGTTAATGAAACAGATGTATGTTTGGAAAATGGTATGGAGGCACTTGTTCGACGCCTGTAATGTTTTCTTTCAGGAATCATTGCCACAACTCGTCATGTTATTTTTTATAATATACCAAATGTCCGTAAGGTGATGTGGCAAGATATGCATAGATAGTTAATTGATGGGGTACTGTAAGGCGGGTCATGAGCATACATGACAGCTAACAGCTTTAACAAGCACAAGAACACATTGTATTTTGGTATTATAATGGTTACGTGTAGTCAAGTGATAACTGAATGGTTCGGCCAATATCAAGTCGTAACCACACAATATGAAATGTACTTCATTTTGCCATTGAAACAAATCGGGAAACATGGAATATGTGTAATGTTTGTTGTGATGACGAACTGTGAGACATTTGGTTGTTTATGTGCCCAGTTTCTGTACGTTGGTATCCAGAAGATGCGGGGGACTTTGGGCTTGTCATACAGGACAATTTGTGAAAGAGGTGCCTTTAACTACTTGAATGATTTCAATTTTCTTTTATTCCCATGTAACGTCGATAGCTATATATTGATACCATGTAACTGCAGGAATGGGAAACTATATTAAATGGCATACAATGCTTGAACGAACTGGACAGGGTTTCAGCAGGATACGAGTCTGAAGTGACTGGTTGGTGTCCCAGAGTTCGGGCTACGCAGAACATGGCAGTCCAGATACCATGGACGACGTCGATGTGACTAACATTCCTGTAACCTGACTATATGGCATGTCAGGATTGCTACTGAGCGCACGTTTCGGCTTTCTGTACAAGGAAGACCATTGAAACAGTTTTAAACTGGGAGTTACACGGGGGAGTTTGTAAGTTGTGTCGTCTTCATTTGAATTATTTAAGCCTGGGGTAAGTATATTCTACTCTAGGAATTCCTGTTGAGCAGATATGATTTTGTATACATTTTGCCTTCAATCCATGTGGTGTATAACTAGTGTATTTTCTGCATAAACGAATCACAATAATGGTATGTTATGTTCTTTCTGTTGGTGTGTCAGAAGTAAAGTGGACGATCTGGTTCGGTATACAGTAACACATATGAAGCTCTAGTCCTCGCCACTTGAAATAGAATAACAAAATATCGCGATGGTTAATTAACGAAGATTGCTGCATGTGTCCTAATACTTATAGAGTGAAAACAAACCATTCCGACGATAAGGAATATTATTTACAGTAATGGCACACAATTTCATAGAGTTTTTGTCACGAAATATCCATTTTGTCAGCGATAAACACTATCTTTGAGTTTTGATAACGTGGTTACAATCCAGGTAAGCTTCGGCAGTCAGGTGGCATTATTTGTGCAGCGAACGTACACTACCAAAACGAACTGAAAGAAAAACATGTGCAGATGTAGGATGTAAAGCGCTATTGACCATGTTCACTGCTACGTATAACCGCTCGCAGTCACCCATTGCCGATTGCAGTACCCGAGTGCGGCACACTCTATGCAAGACACAGAGACTGGTTACATTACATCTGATAAACCGTCGGCAAAAGGAACCGTGCCGATTTACACACTGTCAATAACATCAGGTTGCGAATTTGAAAATAATACAGATACTGAATCGGCATTCTACCTTGAAAACTGAATAAAACAGATCACCTTACATTTGATCATCTTACTTTCAAGTCATAAAACGTATACTGAACAACAAAAGTTCCTGTGACATTGAATAAGATTTCATGCAAAGTTATGGGTTTTTAACCAAATCTGAAACAATTTCGGTTTGCAACAGATAAGAGACTCCTGTAAGTGTTCAAATGGTTTTATTTGCCATACTGACTTCAGAAAATGCGTGATTTCATTAAAAAACATGACCATGCCAAAATGTCAATTTACAAATCAATAGCGTGTGTGTCCACTTCTGGTTGCGATGCAAGCAACACATCTTCGTCTCATGGAATGGACCAGGCGTCGCACAAAGACCTGTGGGATATCTATCCATATCTGCTGGAGCATGTTTCGAAGTCCTGGAGTGTCTGTGGAACACGTGGTTGACGTCGAAGGCGCCGATCCATCTCATCCCACATGTGCTTGATGGGTGAGATCAGGGGAGCGAGCCGACCAGGGGATGACATTCACGTTGTTTTGTTGAAGAGAATACTGAACAAGTCGAGCAATGTGAGGCCAGGCGTTGTCATGTTGCCATGACGACGCAAAAAACGGTAGAACAACAAAGCCGATGATTTCGTCGCGGTAGCGCTGTCCATTGAGATTTCCCTCTTCCACTATCAAACGTGTCCTCTGTCTTACTGTAATCCCACCCCATACCATAACGCTGCCGACCCCGAACTGATCTTCTTCCATGACACAATGATTTACGTAACTTTCACCTCGACGTCGGTACACTCGAATCCGTCCATCGCTGTGGCTGAGGCCGTCAAGCGTAGACGCTGTCTACACCACTGTAGACGTGCCTGACGGTGGTTTCCTGTCAAAATGGGACGTCTGGCGGGTCTTCTGGCGACAATCACTGCACATCTGAGGCGACGACGTACGGTTTGTGAAGATATTCGTCGAAGGCCAGGGATGCTTCTTGCAGTCACCGTTGCTGGCTGGAATCGATTTCGTAGGTGTGTTGTTCGAATCCAGTTGTCTTGTCGTTTATTGGTTACACGTGGCCTGCCACTCCGAGGATGGTCTCTGACTGCATTCGTCTGTTACCAACTTTACCATAAACACCAAATGGTGTTTCTGTGGGCGTTAAATTCTCTTGCAACATCACGTTGACTCGATCCTGCTTCAAGCATACCAATGGCTCGCAGACGCTCATTTTCGGACAGGTGTGGCATTTCGTAATGTTGAATAATTGCGCATATTGTTGTTTTTCTGAGTGGTTGTTGTCAGCACAATGCTAAACATTGCATATGGAATCCCGTTAACGTATAACATGTTTTTATACCCATTCTTGGGTAGGGAAATGCTTGGGGCTTGCATAAAAGTCAACTTTTGCATGGAATGCATGCTTTTCTGTAGCGGTTGCGTTTTTGCGACTTGATTCCATACATGTACTGCAATACTGAAAACCAAACTTTACTTGTTTGAAAAATACACTAAAATATTGGTGTCACAGGAACTTTTGTTGTTGAGCATAGATCTCCTTCCCTGGTATCAGAACATGGTGTGTCCCCTTCCACGAGTCCAATAGAAGTACTTCCAAGAAACGCATTTACAAATATGAAAATTCTGCTTTGGTCACTTTTAGAAATATGGAAGTTCTATGTTTTCTAACTGCTTTTGTTTATGAATTCGACCTACCAGGGCCAAGTCAGGTTAAGTTTTAACTGTATACATCTATTTTATTTGCGCGATTAGTACAATAACTACTTACAACCTACAAACATCTAACGAAAGAAACTCCTTACTTTTTAAATATTACTTGAATCCATTATGATCTCCGACGTCTGCAAACACATTATGAACAGAGCAAGCCTTCTGACACAAGCAAATGCCTCTACATCTTTCTATAAACGGATGACAAAATAGGCTGTACTGTAAGAGTAATATTGAAGGCATGTACAGCAACTAAAGCTGTCCATGGCGTTTGGTGTTCTTACACTAGCTGTTTACTCCAGGTCTAAGTAAAATTACCATATGGAAATCTATAGGAAGTCTCTGAAAGAAGGGATTTTAAAATCAAGCAAAAGCAAAAAGGTGACCGTTTCCATTCGTAAAGCCGAATCGTTTTTCAGCTATTTAGCTTATTTATCCGAATTTCAATAAGGTAAATGAATTAAGAAATTCAATTCCTGTTAAACATGAGAGCCTCTTCGATTCCTCCATTGCGTTGACATTTAGAATTGACTTAGCTTTGTAATGTCAGCCAACATAAATTCGGAATTGCGTGTGGCATGCAAACAAATTGATCACCAAATCGTGATGCGTTAACACAGACCAAATCAAACGGTGTCTTTGTCAGGTGCTTTTGTGGGCAGAGTGACAGCTGGTTGCTCGTGCAGCACGAGCTTGTAATCGCTGTCACATTTACCACGGACTTCACGAGGCTGATCAGACTTGCGTGTCTTGTATGTGGACATGCGACTCCAAGAGGGTTCCAGCTCAAGGCGAAGGTAATATTCTCGTAAATACATGCTGCAGCATCGATGTTCACCAAAACAGCGTCATCACGTCGAGGTTTTTTTGACGATTATCCAGTCACACAAACTAACTATCTATTCTGAAACTGAATAAGTCTTGTTCATCATTTTGCTACTACAGTTACAAGCCTGCGTTTCATCAACTAAATACACCTTCCTAGATTGTATGAATATATTTTCTGTAAAAAAGAAAAGAAACGCAAAAGTAGTCAAATCATAATATCTGACAGTGTTGCCGACATCCATACAAAATTAATACCCGAAATGAATTGATCAATTCTGCATGGATTGGGATTGATTTGTGTGGAAAGAATAAGGTCCTGAAAATTTTTTGGTGAAAACATGGAAACATCTCGAAAGCAACTACGCGAGAGCCTGGCGCCACACCAACATGACATGCACGTGCAAAAAAAAACACTTGTTGGGCAATACACACGTTGGGTTTCCATGTGCATGCCATCACAATCTTACAGCAAATGAACAAAACATCATGCCAGGACGGATGGAAGCCCAACGCAACAACGCCATCGGCCGAGCGCAAATACGAGCATCGTCGGCTGCAACGTTCCTTGTGCCAAGAGTATGGAGACAGGTTTCGCCGTGCGGTAATATTGTTATGCCCAAATTTGTTATTAAATATAGCTTTGTATTCTTGACTAAATTATGTACATGTCAACTTGTTTTCGTCGCTATGTGGCTGAAATAATGCCGATGCGACGTTAAACTTTAACTCACTCACACTCCGTGCGGATGGTTGACGTCATGTTTACAGGCGATGCACAAAACTGCATATAGATAGGGACAGAATTGGTGGTGGTATTGTGATGTAGGCAGTCTTTTCCTACACTGGTAGAACAGACTGGTTCAAGTTCTGGGGAATTTAACTTCACAATGTTACACGGATGAGATTTTCGGTCACACGGCATTTCCATTATGCAAGAAGCGAACGTCAACGCCGGACCTCACACGGCAACACTCACAACAGCCTTTAAATGTGTCAGGAATTACACCATCCAGGTCCTGCCAATCTACTGTTCCATGCGCGCCATATGGAACCTGGCTCAATGACATTGTGTGCCAATTTGTAACAATCGATTACCACATGTTGAAATGTACATCTAAATTCACATTTGCGTTGTTGTTTTTGGCAGAGTATATATATGAAGTCTACATCCTGGTGAAACGTGCTTCTCGAATATCGCGAACGTTCATGTGGTACAATAGACAAATATAATGTTTTGATATCTGAGTCAAGTACAGAGTACATGTACTTTAAAATGATACTTTTGGGACCATATATCAAAATCTGACGTGTAGGAAAAGAACCAGTTATGTTCGTATTGGGTACAGTGAGGCTCGACGCCTTGCGTCCGTTACAGTACTGGACTGCGAAGCTTGCTCTGGTCTTGTATCACTTTGCCAAGGACAGCTTACCGTGTCAGCAATAATCTGTCGGTGTTCCTCGCCATAAGAGTTCCACTGTGAATCAACGTTGAGAATTATTTGTGAAAATATGACCATTTAAAAAGGTTATTTCTCTTTGATCCTCCTTTTATGGAGAATATATGAAGACCTGGGCGAATTGCGTGTGCATATAGGCTAACATGTGCTCTCTGTTACTGAATTACAATCTTGTACAAATGTCATCTCTCGAATTGATTCAACATCGTCTCCATACAAAGAAATTGTGATTTCCAAGGCAACCAAATTTAAGAAAAGCAATGTTGGGCCACTGATGTTCATTTTACCAAGATAAGTGATTACCTTTGGCATGTGCGAGAATACAAAACATAGTAGCCTTATTTGTACCATTCCTTAGCCGGAGAAGCAGCAGTTAACTCGTCTCTACTCTTTCTTAAATCTA